CGGCTGAGATAGCTCCGCTGTCAGCAATGCACATTTCAATTAAAGAACAGAAGATATCATTAGAAAATAAACAATATGTATAGTATCAAGCAATGAGACTTGCTGTTTTCAACAAGAATTCAAAAATATCACTTTTTACCAAAAATTACAAAAATATTCACCAAAATTAGAGAATTAAAGATATCATTACAAAATGAACAAATCTGAGAGAGGTCCACATGTAGTACCTATAAATGTAATATCAAAGCAATTGCACTTGCGGTTTTTAACAAGAAGTCGAAAATATCACTTTTTACCAAAAATGACAAAAATATTCACCAAAATTAGAGAATTGAAGATATCAACATGAAATGAACAAACCTAACAGAGGTCTACCCAAGGTACATATACACCAAGTGTCAAAGCATTCAGGCTTGTAGTTTTCAAGAAGAAGTCGAAAAAGTAAAACATTGACACGGACGACGGACGACGACGGACGACGACGGACAATCACTCATATGATAAGCTCCGCTCGACAAAGTCGACAGCGGAGCTAATAAAAGTCGGCCATTTTGATTATCATCTGAAAAACAAAATGACGAGCATCAAGGTCCCAAAATGTCCAATGTATGTACCAAGTTTGAATAAAATCCATCTGTAAACTGCCGAGATCAGAGTTCGGTTCCGGAATGCCAGAAATGCTTGATTTCGTGAAAAAACAAATAGACGTGCATATGTATAAACATGTATAATGTACGTGTGAAGTTTGAATGTAATCGGTCTAGGCATGTCTAAGATATACTAGTAGATCCGGACGGGCAGACGCACTCACACACCCACACCCACACCCATACCCATACACGCAAGCACGGAGGTCAATCCAGTCCATTTTCCATTTTACGGCGTCCGAACGAGAACTAAAAATCGGAGAGAAAAAAAGACAAACTCCAGACTTGACAATACGATTTCCACGAACAAAACCCTCATATCTGGGATATAGCTTTGGAAATATGTTGCTAAGTATCGATTTAAAAAAAAAAAAAAAAAAAAGAAGAAGAAATTAAACTGGCCACATTCAAAGCAGGTAGTTTTCTTGTCGAATTAATGTTAAACTCGTTTCCTCGTGAATGTAGTAAATTGTGTAAAGATTTAGAAATTTAGAAATGCAATGTGAAGGATTCTGGGAATATGCGAGTTTTAATATTGTTGTTTGATAAAGTATTCCTGTAGCAAATATTTGGTTATTTACTCGATGGCATTCTCTAACACACAAGTACAAACGCTACGTACATACACAGGGAGCCCAGGAACTATAATCAACTGTAATACGCAGTGTCTATGAGCGGGGGGGGGGGGTTATCGGCTGGTATCTAGTGTGAGAAATAGATAAGGGATGAAGGCTCCAGCCAGCTCACAATTTTTAAACTCGAAAAAACAGACGAAAAGAATGAAAAATAAAATCTAAAAAAAAATACCAGGTTGAAGAATATTAGTTGCTCCTTCAAATTTCGCCAAAGCATTGCCTACATTTTACCGATATCTGTAGAATAAATCAAGAAAACTACACAAATTGACTCCATTTAGGAATTCCTAACGATTGGTTGGTTGACTGGTTGTTGCCAAATGCTACAGGCCACGCCTCCAAACTTTGCCGTGCGTTTTGGACATGAACTTTGTATTGTAAAACTCTAAATACTTTATTTCAACGACCGAAATTTCGAGAAATTGAGGGGTATAGGATAGGAAACAATGACCCAAACCAGATAACACATGTAAATTTGTTTATATTGATCTATTTGTATTTCTGAACCAAATACGGTGATCTCATATTGCAATTTAATTTTCTTCGTCTTCGTGATATCATTAGTCATATGTGTAAAAATGAAAAAAAAATATTTTTGTTTACATTTGAGTAGCAATCCAACAGATATTACACGCGTACCAATTCAGTCAGTATCGACCGTAAACAAACACAAAGTGGGAGGGTCGTCACCTGCGCACGCGCGGGAATTGAGTCCCGAGCGACGATTACAACACACGCTAATAACGCAAAGGCTCATGGGTAGACGCTGGTTTGTAAACAATGACACGCTATGACCATCTGACGCATGCGCAGGTGACGACTTCCCCGCTTTATACCAAAAACAGGCAACATAAAGTTTGTAAAACTTACCTCACAAAGCTCTCAACTATGTCTTCTACAAAGTTTACAGTCTGGGTCCGAAACTGGTCATTCGTAACGCTTGCTGATCTGTATGATGAGGGGTTAACACGGGTCAGACTTCAACAATACATAAATGGATATCACGACTACTATATTAGACACAACATGCGTGAGGTGACTCATACGTCACACGGAAGGCATTGTATTGCATTTGGATTTTCCGATTTAATGTCAACGAAGCAGTAGGTACCAGTCTCAGTGTACATCAATAAATTGTCACGACAGCGATACAAGTACATGGCTGTATGCATATTTTAAAGGATATCTAGGTTTCCTTTTGCACGAAATTGTTTCTGGTGGCAATAGCTCATACTTCACATAAATGCAAATGTCGTTGCAATATTAGTATATTTGAAAGGGATATATTTCTACACTGTATAGTAAAATCATATACATATATAGCTGTAAGCTGCAGAATTTATAAGACATTATTTTTTTTTTATTTAGCTACACACAATTTGATGCATCACTGACACAATACTGACAAATAGTCGTGAGCATTGTATTGTGATCTGCTGAAACTTTTAAACTTTCAAGTTTTCACATACTTATTCAAGGTATAAAGAGGTTGGAGGAGTTCGAAATCTACACGGACAACTTTGAAACAAAATTTAGAGAGAAAGTCGCAGTGAAAATATACAAAACAAATCTCACTCATATGAGAATTGTATCAAAATCATGATGAAAAATTTGCACAATAGTTCTACCCCCTGATTTGTTAATGGATCATCCCTAAATATGTTCACAATAATCAACTCTGATGTAATGGTTTCAGACAAACACGAGAAATCGTGCCCCAGGCTTATTGCCTCATAGTATATCGCATGTCAACGGATCTAAACTCTATGACATTCCCCGAAAATCAAACATCCCTCCCGAACACCAACAAACTGGTCTACATATTATAATATTGACAGGTGAATCGGTATAATGAACAGTTGCGATTTGCGTTGTGTCAAACTATTGGAATGTTTACATTTTGTGATAACAGCTTTCTGTGTAGTGCCTGAAGCAAAGGATCGGCGTGCTGAGTTCAGACAACATGTTGGTCGATGACCATTAAACACCGAGTGTGTGAGAAACATCGAACTTCCGATCGGGTTTACGAAAAAAACAACTTACCGGTCAAGGATAAAATACAGGTCAAATCCTCCACGACAGCGTAGTGACCTTTCATATTGATCATCGGACACTAACAGCTGACACAGGGCAAGCTTGCATAGCACAAGCAGCGTGAGAAAAACACTGCAATTGTGTTTTTTTAAGGCCATCTTTAAAAGCTTGGCGGTTGAGTCACGGCTCACTCAAGCTCCCGGTCGACGCAATGATTTCAGCCTATTGCAATGTAAATGAGCTACCTCCAGATGGAAGCCAAGTCACGTGAAAGGAAATCATATGCATAAACTGTTTATTTTTATTCAAGTTTACTGATACCAGGTTTCCGCCACGACCTCGAATGTACATTGTATGTAATAACTGCAACAACACGTGAAGGTATGTTTAAGATTGGTAGGTTCTAGCGGATTACCACAGTTAGCTAATGATCATATTTAAGCAATATGCAATACTGTAGAATACTTTATTTTCGCTTGGAATTTATTTTCGCTATTTTCGCTGAAGGGATGTTTCCGTGAAAATAAAATCCAGCGAATATACTTTTTTTCCTATATTTCACATTAAACTCATCAAAAATCAGTGAAAATAAATTCCACACAAAACGCCCAAAAAGCCTTTTCAGCGAAAATAAAGTATTCTACAAGTATATCAAAATTGGTTAAATTTAAATAAATCCATAATTCGTCTTTGAACATTGTATAAGTATTCACTATCTTTTGTTTTCATTTAACTAATAACGACAAACGTGAACATACTTTTCCAGTGCCAATATTTGTCTATATTACTGTACATTACGTGATACTAAATTATATGTATTAATATTTCCTAATCGGTTACATTTGTTGTTATGATGCACACGGCAAAACCCCAATTGAAACTTGGATTATGACGGAATATTTACATAAACCTTATTAAAACACTATAGGCACTGACCCAGCTCACCGGGGGGATGGTAACACCATAGAATGCGGGTTAAGCTGAAACGGGTGTAAATATTGTACCATTTTGGCAATATTAACCAGCGATGTTGAAAACCGTGTGTTGGACTAAATGCCACATGGCCCGAGTGTCCCATTAGTCGTTTGGCAACAAATAATATGATCAATCACTGCTAGGTGAAGAAATTACTCAGTGTTCGGAAACTTCACAATGCGACAATAGCATTCCACATAATAGCCCAAAACCTGTGAAATATTCCGACGAGGCTCAAGAATTGAATACATGGTATGATCTAAAAGGGGGTAACAGCTTGGGTCAATTAGTCAACACAAAAATGCCGCATGAGTATACGTGCAGAATGAAGAGAGAGAGAAAAAGTCGCACAACTACATCAGCGTTCAATATTTGCATTATCTCAAAGCAAATTATTGAAAAAAGACTAAATACAATCCGAAAAGTGCATATAATATCAGACAACTTAAAATTTGGGTTATCTGGGCATTCAGCTGACGTACTCTCATTATAAGCAATCCGAAACTTCATTTCAAAGTGTTGGGATGTTTTATTATTTCAATTACATGTGGACTTCGATTATTGAAATAATCACAAATTTTCAATATGATGTATATCACAATATTAAACGACAGCTGGAAAAGAAACTTATGACCAATATATCGTGCAAATGAAGTTGAACCTGTGCCTGACTTGAGTTTATTTGACAGCGCCCCCATCTCGAAACAAGAATTGTCTATCAATAACCAATCTTCAATCGCTAAGCTGGTGTAACCATGGTTACACTGTTTGTATTAATTGAAAAGGAGTTACTTTAATTAGTGAAGTTGTAAGCAGGTGTGATCCTGGCTTCTGAATGGCCAGTGTTAAAGCGGCAATAGTTTTAAACCTAAGTATTGTTTTAGACACAGTTATGGGAATTAGCGCATATAATCATATAATTAGCTTGTTTTGTTTGTGGTATTTTGGACTTTACACTAGCTCTGTATTGTGTACGTGCCAAATAAAATATCATATCCTATCCTATCCTAATCACTAGTGATAGACCGACATATTTCATTTCGCCTGGGGCCAACGGGAAGTCATCCTATACCGTAGTCCCATTGTCCGAATCGCACGGTCCCGTGTCTTCTACCTATCCTCGGGGCGGACATCCGGGCATTTTCACCGCCTGGCAACCCGCGGCGGTGAAAACAAAGGCCCAAAACTCGCATAAAACGGTACTTCGGGATGATTGTTGAGACTCATCTGAACAGTGCAACAAAATTAGCCCTACGTGTGTAACATATATAAATTTGGTTGTTCGGGATTACTTTAAAGTTGAGTTTGTGTTGTTTTCTCGAATTTTCACCGGCTCGACCGGCATTCCACAGCAGCGGCGCGCACAGAGCCCATATAAATGCATGGTACAGTGGTGCGCGTCTTAGCAACGTGGAACGTCTGTGACGTAGCTCCGCCCCTGAGGATAGGCCTCTAGAGGCTTGGCCGAATAAACTTAGACCTTGGCTAGCGAAGATGCCGTAGCCCCTGATCGGTGAGCTTGCCAAACCTGGATTTCGATAGATAGCGCCCTCTTGCCACAACCACACAACCATCTTGTTTCACTTGTGATTAAATGTCCAACGTCGGTATATGGCATATATATTATGCTTTCAGTGTCCATATTTCGGTGAAGACCAATGCAAATTTGTACAAATAGCACAGAAACTGTTTTATTAAAAATAAAAACGGTGAAAAAGAGCGAAAGTTACAGCTATTGCGGCTTTAACAAATTCGGATAATGAATAACAATTTGTTGATGGCACAATTATAACGTGTTGACCTTTCCCAATACTTTAAATTCAATTGAAGCGACAACATTGCATTCTACAATCTCAAACCATTCATATCCAACTAACATACCAGCAATATACCGCCCTTGAAACCACGAAAGCATTCATAATTCACAATTTGTTGCGTTCGCTCAAAACGTGTACGAAAAAAACAAACCTGAAAGACGACCAGTTTAAATGTAGTTAAATAAGTTAAATAAGCTTGATCTCGTACGTCATCGTAAATATATATTCTATCACAACACGTGCCTTCAGTGCATGCCATGTAAATAATTTTGTAGTTTGACAAAAATAGTTGAGCAATATAATAGCGATATGTATGTTAGGCCACGTGACTATTTTGCTATTTGCTACTCGAGCAAAATTAAAACCAAAATTCTCATGTTTTGTTTTACAAATCAATAAATATCGCAATTCTAGATAAATATGATAGTTTTAGATAATTTGGAGTCTTATCTTGATGCTAAATTCAACTTGTGCATCTTTTCGACTAAATTTTCAACTTTTTCGCAGTCACAGCAACGCTAACCTAAAATCGGGTATTAAAATCAAACAAATTTTCAATTGAATTGTTTGCTTTTCAATATCAAATTCATAAGTATTATTATGATGTACTTGTATTGGATCACCATTTCAATAAACATGTATGTTCGGTCAAAACACGATAACTGATTAACCAGAATTAATATCAAAATCTACTATTCAATATAAAAAAAATCCGCATTGTTACTTTAAACAGTAGAACAAGAAATAACAGATATTTCAGAAAATAGCTACCGTGTTTGCAGTTACATCAGCGGATCAGTTCAATTAGTTCGTAAAAAGTTTCTTGTTTACTGTTATTAATAAAAAAAAAACCGCACTAGGATACATTCAAATCCGTCTGTTTTGTTTCGGTTCTTTCAACGTGGTTCTGTGACTTCAAAACACCACAGCTGAAGATCCTAACTTCCTGGGGTCTGACGCTGCTTCTAGAGCATAATTCTGCCTCCGGGCAGCCATGACTTGACTGCCGATGTCGTCGACCATTTCGACTATGTGACCTCTGTCTAACAGCCCCTCCACGACATTGTCGGCGATGCGCTCTGAAAAAAAAAAAATGCATGGTTTTTTCAGTCTCCCAAATCACCAATATGCTCCGAAGAGCTCTATCTTGACTGACCATGCTCGTTGTTCGCGATTCATTCACCCAAGCAGCGATTTCCTAGTTCATGTGAAGCCTCATTTTTGTTAGACCAACCATAGTCCCTCTATGGACCAATCAGACAGTAGCTTGTTTGTTGACTGGTCTTTTCGACGTATCGAATTCTGCCTTATATAAAGGCTTCAACTTCAGCTACCAGTATGTATGTTTGTTTTTTAAAACAATATATAAGTAACTCACATCACCTTAAAGGGCGGTGGTCGCCGCGCCGCGCATGTACAACACACGTGTTGATAAACACGTGCTCATTTCCCCACAATCCAATTCGCTTTTCTAATGAAAATCACTGGGTGCGATGTGCACTAATTACAACCGGTGACTCCTTATACATTTCAATCACCAAAAAAAATACCTAGTTGCACTTGGCAACGTCTCAGTTTGTACTTGTTGCTCTGCGCAACCGTCACAGTCACTGTCTTTGTTCACATGAGACCAATATCTCGCGCATGCGTTGCGCGACCACCACCGTCCTTTAATGGGTATTCAACAGTACAGCATTATTTATAATACCTTCGACTTCGATTTTAAAATCCGTCGAAGTCCGATCTACGCGTCTTTTGTTGACACTTTCTTCCAATGATAATCCATATGATATAATATCCAGATATACTTGGGCTATTCCAGTCCCAATCGCAGTACCTCCGTTGCCCCCGAGAATTAACTCGCTGATGCCTGCATCCAGTAATCGGCGCGAAAGTAGCGGTGCTATTGACGATTGAGGGCGCTTTCCCGGCTCGATAAAGTTTGACTGTACGAGGAGAACCATACAGTTATTAGTTTGACTGTACAAAGGAGTGCAACATTTGTATTCATATCCTCGGGGGCGGACATCCGGGCATTTACTACCGCCTGGCAACCCTTGCGGTGAAAACAAAGACCAAAAACTCGCAGAAAACGGTACTTTGTGATGGTTGATGAGAGTCCCCTGAACCACCGTCCCTCAACACCATGTTGAGGGACGGTGCCTGAACAGTGCAACAAGATTAGCTCTACGCGTGTAACATATATGAATTTGGTTGTTCAGGATTACTTCAAAGTTGAGTTTGTGTTGTTTTCTCGAGTTTTCACTGGCTCCACCGGCGTTCCACAGCAGCGCGCACAAAGTCCATAGAAATACGTGGTACAGTGGTGCGCGCCTTAGCAACGTAGAACGTCCGTGACGTAGCTCCGCCCCCAAGGATACCGCGAACCCGGGGTGCTGTGTTTTTCCTAATGTTAGTGTTTTAATTTCAACGCGAATTCTGTTTGTAACTCATGTATGAATATATTCTTTTCACGGCATTTGAATATGAATCCGCAACCCTGATTTACAATCTGAATTCGATTATAATATTATAAACAAATAAGAAATGGAATATACTGTAAAACATATTGAAATAGCTACATGCCATTTTAGCAAATTTGACTAAATACATGAACTAAAAAAATCTTAATTTAGCTAAAATGACAACAATCTCATTGTGAGAATATACTTTATTCTAAATTAGCGACATCTTGAATTAGCAAAATTACAGGTTAGCTAAAATGACATGCTATCTAATAAAAAACGTGTTTCATAGCACATATATGCTACTGTCCATTTAGTTGTAATTCGGTAATATTCTCTTTAAATCTATTAAATTGTTTGGAACATTCTTCCTCAGTACTGTCACAGCGGTGTAATGACCTTACCTAGACTGTCTACAGCCTATAACTTACCGTACTTTCTGTTATGTTGCTACCATCGGACCACGAAAAGTCATTCATGTGGTTATTCAGCAGAATTCCACTCGGAGTCATCAAGCCACTGCCGAAACGCTCGTTTACGGAACTGTGGATGGAATGTCATGGCGATAATAACTTGTCTGTCAGGTCACCAATGTCCGTCTAGTGCATTTACTATGCTTATTAACAGAATGAATCTGTTAATTTGCATGTACTATCAAAGCTGAATAATAATTTTTGTATATACCCGTAGTATGTGTGTGTTTGTCACGCATTATAGTACTGATATCATGCCATATGATCAAGTATTACCTATAAATTTCACAGAATTCTACTTTAAACTGTATGTGTATATGACGTGTTTGGGACCACTTTATTTCATGCGTTAAATTACATTTGTTTTATAATTGTGTTATATGTCACCTTATCGCCCTAGTGTATTGATACTAGTATGTAAAAGGTTGGCGGTTGGTTTACCTACACAATGGCAGAATAAACAATATGTCACTGAAAAAAGCACTCTGGTGTCTTTAAGGTTTCGTGTGTTCCTGAGTCAACACATTGCAATATGTCTTAGCAGATTTAACCAAAAGTTTATGAAACATAACACATATTAATAAGCAGGCAACGTCCCACGTTAACTCGAAGATGACGAACGCAATAGGAAGCCACATCTAAATGATCATTGGACATCTGTGTTATGCGTGAGTGACTTTGTAGAAAATAACAACCCACCTTGTTATAGAAACCATATTGCCCTCGTTGTCAATCACACACGCATGCGATGTGCCATACCCTGGTTTGGGCAAGTACGGACCATAGTATTCTGACGGGTAGGTACTACTATCGTTAATCATCGCTCGTAGCTCTGCTGCAGACTCTTTGCTGTTGAATACATATATGTAGGTGTTACGTTGGTATGTTTTCCATGTGGTAATACGTGTAATACTTGTCTGCTAAGGGAATGACCATTTATTATTCCTGGGGGGGGGGGGGTCAGCATATTTTCTAAAGGCACGTAAGCGACCTCTGATATTAAAAACAAACATGGCTGCCACCAGGGTTTGACCGAACTCCACACAAAGAAGTTCGCTGATTCTGTTTTAATTTTGTTGGATTTCGGCATTCTCTTGATGTATCCTTGGAAGGAAAAGATGTACAATAATAAGGTTATTATGAGAGTACCTCAACGTATGCACTCAGACAGTACATGGTGCATCGACCGAGGCGCTGTACTGTCTTCGTGCATACTTTGAGGTATTCTCGTAATAACCTTATATACATGTAAGTTTCTGTTAATAAAAAAAAATTGGACAATGTTATCGCAGCATATCAGAATATCGTGGGCCTGTGTTGATTGATGAACGACATTTAATTCACACATTCATATGCTGAAAATGTAACGAACGTCACAGTGCGACAGCCTATAGAAATGAAATATTCTATTTCCAAAATTTTAAATATCATGAATAATGAAAATTTACATCATCTTTGATTCAATACCTGGTCATGATTTGGGTCAAATTACGCACATCCGGTACGAAGTCTGGATCCCCAAGTCTCGTTTTCTGCGCAAACGCAAACTTGAATGCCTGTTAGAAAATACGTAAATATGAATTATATCTGAAATTGCTAAGGCATGATATTGGCACGAATAACCACAGGGAGTTGGACAAACTTGTGTATTTTAATAAATTATTAAATAATAAATTGTTATATAAATTTTCTTTTAGCCCCCCCCCCCACTTCCTGGTCTCGATTTCAAGTAATCACTGATCCGTGTTTATACCACCAACAGTCCCTCAACGTTGAGGGACTGTGTACCACTCTTTCCTTTATCACAACTTTGTTGCGCGCTAATGTTAGATGCAAATTTTAACGCGCGATGTAGACACACCCTATTATAGTAAAATATCCCAAGGGTTGAAACGCGCCAGGACTATCAGGAAGGGGGGAGGTAAAAGAAGAGTTATATGACAATTTATTATTTAATAATTTATTAAAATACATAAGTTTGTCCAACTCCCTGTGGAATAACCTATATGCACAAGCTACAGTATATGCAACAATATGAAAACAATATTTTGAGCGTATCATATCACACGAACGAAAACGCACACATTCTTTTTGCCTGCCATAGTATCTTCTTTCGCTACCCTCCTAACGTACTAAGGCAATACACAGCGATAATATCTGTTTGTGAAAATATGATTTGCATATTCATGTGTAAACAACATAAAAGCAAGTTACCCATCAGCGCTTGTTTCTACAAGCTACCCGGCCGAATACTAACTACATTGTAGGCGTATTTTACCAGGGCTTTCTCGCGTTCACCACAATGCGCCTGGAAAATGTCGAGGTTCTACGACGATGACATACACCTTCTTACCTCAATTAATCTGTGGTATGTTAAGGGGTCTTTCATGGCGCCACTCGTTAAATCGTATCCCTCCAGTATACCCAGTATAGAAAGTACCACTGGTCCACCAGAGGGCGCCCCTAAAGTATACACAGTTGCGGCTAGGAGAATAAAGAGTGGAAGTATGAAATGACGTCGACAGTGTGAGATCATTCACCGAAACAACACCAAATGTGAAAAGTCAACTCACCGTGATATGTAGTTTTTAAGGGGGTTCTCCAGATGGGTTGATAATTTAGGAAATCCTGAGCAGTTAGATTACCTCCTGCTTCCAAAACCTGCAAAGAATATAATGAGTGCCTATAACACGATGTTCCAGATATATATTGTACCATATATATATATATATATATATATATATCAGGTCAGCCATTTACCACTTTTGTTTTTTAGATGAATATATTAGTCTAACACTAAACCCACGATGCTAAAACTAACCAATGCACCTTTCCTATAAGGCACGCCTTCTAGCGACGAAGCACTATCATGATCTCGATATCAAAATAAGCTCAGTAAGCTGAGTTTAGTTGTGCTGTTGTTCAACACCTTGAATACAGTAATCATGTGAAAAACATTATTTTTTTTTTTGGTGAAAGACCAACGACCTAAACAACATCGATACCGTGAGCCACCGCCAAAGTAACTTGCCGCTAAAGAGCGTGACTTCGAAAACATTCTCATACGATTCGCCATTTTAGTTAATCTTGTTGGAATATTGGCTGGTTCCCGCCTCAAGTGTCATGGCGTACCAAACTTGTCATTCGCAAAGAACGCCGGGAACCAGCGAAGTTGAAATATCGCGCCCTCCATTAATGAGTTGAACAGATACTAGTACGTGATGCGGGATGTCCAAACTTACAGTGTCAATCATTTCTTTCGACAGTCTTCCATTAAACATTGCATCAGCACCCTCCGTCGCTATGGTTTCGAGTACTGCTGCCAGATCGGGTCTCTTCAACGTATCCCCTTCTTTTACTCTTGTGCCATTCGGCATGTAAATATTACGTAATCGTTCTGAATACATCATTCTGCCATCAAGTTCCTTCACGACTGCCTTCGCTGTAAGAATTAACGTAGTTTGAGTCATTGCTGGTAAAATACGTGAAGCAACATCAATAATGACTTAAAAAACTGCTATATTTGATGTACTTAATAATAATGTCGGTTCCCTTGGAACACAGCAAAGGACCCTCACCTGTACTTCCGGTCACTTCAAATCCGTTCCTAGCAAGACGAATCACAGGTTCAAAAAGATCGAACCACTCTAACCTAAACAGAAAAAAGTAATAATAATAGTGTAAGGGGGTAAATCTCTTACTCTCGGGTTCTCCACACTTGTCAGGGGGGAACCTCGTCTCATCTCGATATCTCATCCCCTCGAGGTATGGGATCGGGAAAATCACTTATACTTTACAGTCAAATAAGACACACACAACGAAATACGTTTCAGCTCTCGTCTTAGTCGGTCAATCGAGCACTCTATAAGACACAGCGCCCTGGGGAAAAATCCCCAAGACTCTCTTAGACTGCGTCAACAATCGCCCCAAGGCTCTCCAGGACTGGACCACGACTGCCTCTCTCGTGCTGTGCTCCCCAAGACCAACTCAAAACTCTTTTTATTCATTTTCAAAACTCTAACCAATTACAATGCAGTAAAAAGACTCTAGGGCGTAACCTTCAATCATAAAGCCAATCACATTAAGTACTGAATACGTCATATCTTTTGATTAATCGTTCACTACATTAATAACTATGGAATACCAACTGTCAAAATCGATAGTCAGAATAGCAGCGGTTATCTGGTAATTAGTTCCAAATCACTGAGCCAAGTTCCGTCCAAAACTTCAAATAGGCCTAAACGATGACAGACATAACACAGCAATTCAGCTAATAATCAGCTAATTAAGTCGACCAACAGATACGCGAAAACAAATTCATGACAATAGCACGTCAAACTCGCACAGTATACTATTCATCTATCGGTCATAGTAAAACATACATACATAATAGTTAACAATCAGGTCTTGAACATAAATATAAGAGATTGCTCCTCAGATTATTATGACATCTATTATAGTCCTTATATACTAGTATATCGGAATTATCAACGCTTGAAACAATGATATTATTTGCTATTATAATAATATTGTGTGATGATAAGAAAATATAAGAAAAACTTTTATAATTCTGATCCTAATTCGCCTCACTGTACATTGCATTAAACACCTCGGTAAGAGCCGCACAGGTGTGCGGTTCATGTGGCACGGTAGTCGTCGCGCCATGCATGTGCGAGATATATGGGACTCATATAAACAAAGATGGCGACTTTGACTGTTGCGCAGATCAACGAGTAAAATTGAGACGTTACGAAGCTTTAATTAGGTATTTTTAGGTGGTTGGAAGGTATCGAATGAGTCACCGGCGATAATTAGTGAAAGTACAACCTCATACTTGTGATTTCCATTAGGAGAGCGCATTGGATTGTGGGAAAATCAATGTTTATCAAAACAAATGTCGCACATGCGCAGCGCGACGACTGCCGCGCTTTAACTGAGAGACTTCTGTCTCTTATATGCCGCAATTTAAATGCTATAGTGCCCATAGTTGTATTTACTGGTAGTTTATTCAATTATACATTTATTATTTTTATATTCTCGGTCTCAGTACCGAAACCTCATGATGAAAACATCATAAATTTATAAACAATATTACAAAAGTATTAATACATGCCTTCCATATCGTCGCCAAGCCAATTCGAGCCCACGTATTTCAGATGGTACTGCCACCGCCAGAGCCCCCTGTTTGAAGTTGGAACAATACAAATCATTAAGGAGAACATCACAAAGACACCCAAAGATGACGTTTCACTCTTGTGGAAGAGATGACACAACTGAAAAATCGATTCTTAATGATGTAATATGGACGAGAAATCGTGATCCATTTTTGGAGTGCATGTCTGAGTATGCAGTGCACTGGTTGTTTGGGCCAGTACAATAAAAATCACTGCTCATGCGTATTTGTGTTTACATCTGACGACTACTGTAGTAAATTCTGCAAACACAACCTTTTTTATAATAAGTTTTGAGTCATAATTCAAACTGATTCGGTCTACAGTATGGCTTACATGCAATAGTCACGTGTCATACATATATGTGATAACGTCAACACAACACCACAGAACAATTCAACACAATTGCACCACTTACCGTAAATGCCAAATCGGCATCTTGTTCAATCTTTTTTCTGTACATGTGTGCATCTAATGGTGCGACCTCCCGGAAGTCCAACACAGCAACATCCGATTCGCCTTCTTTCACCAGCATGAACCCCCCTCTGCCATGGGAAAACCGTTAACAATGTGTTGAAAAAAAAAGAATTTATTTCAATAATCCATGATAGTAGGTTATCAGATTTTGGATAAATGATAGAATTTTCATAATACACTATTGGTGGGCCACACTGTTACGTAGTCTTACATGTAGGCGTGAGTGGCGCCCTCACGGCATCAGATCCCATGGTTTGGAGCACCGCGGATTGCGCAGCTCACGTGACCTTTTCATGCTAACTGTTACGTAATAGTCCCAAATCCACCATTTTGTTCATCCTCGTTCGCAGTACTCACTTCACAACAAATAGTCTTTCGCAAAAATATCTACCACACAACGACTTCGTGGATATATAAATCCAATTATAGCGAGTTTCTGACAGTTGAATTAATTCACAAAAGGCGGCCGAAATGTCGTTCGACATTGTGAAATTCTTTCTTTTTTATGCAGAAAATACAGTATTTTATCAAGTAAAATCATATTTATTGAAGTTATTGTTCATACATGAGTTGTCGAACACACTGTATAGTTTGTAATTTCGTTCAGTCATATTTAAAGACAAATAAAAGGCAAAAATATAGACAATATAGCATGAGTGCATAAGGGAATACATTTCGTTATGAATTATTCTTAATATAAATTTCTGAACTATCCTGTCAAAATCATTTTTTTTCACAATGAAGAATTTTACAATGTCGAAAACGGGAAGTAACGAAACGGTAACGGTCCATGTATCATAACGGGCAAACGTTGGCCAGTCAACACTTACCCGGCTATTCCCGACGATTGTGCGTTAACAAGACCGAGACACAGGATTGTAGTAATAGCGGCATCCACTGCGTGTCCGCCATTTTTGAGAGTTTCAACACCGAGCTCGGTGCACTGGCGTGCCCCCGATGACACCGCACCATGGTTCTAAATAAAGAGGCACAAACGCAAATAAAAACTGTCTTGAATGTTATAGTTCTATTAGAAAATATACTGTTAAACCCATTTAATATATTCCCTGGCATTTAATTTCCTTATTTTGATGTTTTGAGCAAACTCAAGTTCACAAACTTGGCAGCGAAACAATGAGTTTTCTTGATATACTCAGACTTGTTAGCAGTCTGTTGCGATTCCGATGAAATTTTTTTCCCATAAATTGCGTAAACGAGCTCGAGGGATGAACCAACATGTTAGGATTTCGCGATCACAGGATTTTCGCGTTCACCCCTCGTTTACGTAATTTATATTTATTTTTCAAGAATGTTTCATCGGAATCACAACAGACTGCAAGCAAGTCTATGTTGTACTAGATGTTCACGTGAAATTAATTTCGCGAATTTTACTTATCAATGAAAATAGCGAAATTAAAACCAGTATATTATAATCATTTATACCTTAACTAAATTTGAATTGTAAAACAGAATGTCTATTTGGGTGCTATCTCGTCAGATTGAATGAATGGACGGTCTCGGATAACTTGGAGTCTTCATTGCGATGACGTCAGACAGCATACATGTACAGTAATAGGTGAATATGTAAATCGAGAATACTATAAAACTTATCAACGCATCGTCACATACTGTTAATGCAATATAAACAAAAATATAAAATTTTGATTTTGTTTTGATACTGCATGATGAAGACAAAACTGGATTATGTAATTTAGGTATTTGACGCGTATACGCGTCTAACGTGTTTAGGATCCTATCGGAACTTGAAGCCAGATGTAACTTAGAATATAGTAAAGTGTGAAAAGGGGAATCTTATGAATTCGTGTTACCTCAACTTGGAAACAGTATGATTTTAGTATTTATATATAGGGTATCTATTTTAAGTTTCTGCACTTGAAAAGGGGTATAATTTCACAAAAATAAGTACATGTACGTGTTTTGAGTTTTTTTTTAAAAAGCTATACTTTGAATACCCCCCCCCCTTCCCGGGTGATTAAGATCTTCATCGTCGCCTCGATTTGTTGTGCTTCGAATGGAAGGTATTTTAAACTAATCTTTAATGTAGGGATATTTATTAACTTGCTGACAGGGCTGCTGAAATTAAAAAGTTACCTGATCTGCACCCCAGTTTTCTCCGTCTATGTTTTTTTTCTAGGATTTAGGCGTGCATTTTGTATGTCATCAATTCATACAACATTTTTTTCCTGTGCAATTTATATCTAATGATCAACTCCTAAGATAATTAAAAGAAAAAAGTAAGTTGGTTGTTGCACTGGTGATCCACAGAACCATAGCTACACCCCCTTCGACGCACACCTTACCAGCTGCATTGAGCTTGTTCGTGACAAACGGCATGAAGTGATTTGGGCAAATATTTCTTATGTTTGCCTATTCCGCGCGATGTTTCAACAAACCTGACTGATACCAGTTGAGCGAGTTCACTAGTCAGGGTTCTATTCACCCCGAGGTTAGAGGAGCGTTGTTTGAGTTTTACGTGCGTATAACGCGGACGCATATACACACCAACGCCAACGTGAAACCTGGTCGAGTGTGAAACCTCTAATTTTGGCTTGATATGATTTCACTCACTGCAGAGCGCCACCAACTTGCTATGTTCACATCTACAAGGTTGAAATTTGCTATGTTCAAACCATCGTAATAACTTAATTCCTCCCATTTGAAATTTAAATGCTTATTTTTTCAAATTAAAATGATCATATTTTAAACTTAAATGCTCCCAAATTTTACCATCAATTTGTTATATTTTAAATTTGATTATAATATTTTAAACATAAATTCGCATAGTTTAACATCTGTTTTTATATTAAAAATTTAATCGCTCACATTTCTAATTTAAATTGTCATATTTAAATATATCATGGTTTAAATAAACCTGATAACACACCATACCCCCCTCCGATGATTTCAATGTTTGACCCCTTACTCAGGCTGACAACAAATGACTGTACACTAAAACATGACCTACAGTGTGTCGGCGGATCGACTAAAACATATTGGTGTCATGCGTAAAATATACCTGATTTACTGGTGACAACCGCCATAACCACAGTTTTATGTCGGATAACTTAACCCGGAAGTAATTTAAACACATAGTCGACCTACGAAGAATTACATGGTCATACTGACTTTGCTGTAAAACGTGTACACACCACGCCAACACGTTCCCAATGATGATTAACAAGCAATACAAGAAATATCGTGATATATATTACCTCAAATAGATTATGGTAGATTGACAGTGCTACAATCACCGAGACAACAGCAACAATAACGAGGACGATAATGGAGAGAATTACTACGTAACGTTTTGAGACTGTCGCTTTCGTTGTACTCGTGTAGGAACTGGTGTATTCACCGGACGACTCCCTCGATGACAAGAGAGGCGACTTCTCGGTCTCTTCCGTGGTTTCGTGAGCGCTGGCCATGGCGTCGAGTGTACGGCGGTCCCGAGTCATTCAATGTGCTCAATGGCGCGGCTGCGTTGAAACGATATTGTCATATGAATACTACTATCTGTCGCCGGGATCTGACACTGATCTGAAATTGTCCTAGAAACCTTGGCATCGTGTCACGTGATGTTAGTGAACAATGTGTCGGTGTCGGTGTCGATATCTAGGTCACGGCACGACAATAAACAGAATGCACGTGACTTGATTTAAATAAATGCACGATCACCATTACCGTGCCCGATTACGTAGGGCGGCTACATGCTTATACATGTACTTTATACCTTGTCAATTGCCCCATCCCGGGGTCAATTACACCCCCACCTAAGGGGCGTAATGTGGACAGACATACTACTTGACCTCATAGTAATGATATTATGATTTTGGGATATCTGGTAAAACAGAATAAAACATATACAATCTTGTTATATTTTTAAAATTAAACAGAGATGCAGGTTCCACGAGATTTACTCAACTTTTTACATGCTTTTTATAAACAACTCTAATAGAAGTAGAAACAACAATGAACTACACAAGTTCACGACATGGTATTATGACCCCAACCTTTATTGGTGCCCATTCACATCGTGGTTCAGTCACAAACCATGCAATGTCAACTAGAGTACATATAGTAACGGGTAATCAGATACAAGAAGATGCACTCTGGCCGGAGATACATTCCCGGGAGTTTGTGTCATCTCAATTTCTGCTCCAGCGTGTCACTTGTTATCCACTCACATACTCGGATTTCAAACTTGAAAAAAAAAAAAAAAAACAGGAAGGAGCAAGCGATTTTTATCTCATCTCGTTTTATATTCAATGTGTGTCTTCCACAACAAAACGACAAAGTTTAGGTAAAAATTCATACCCATAAGCCCAAACAGATCTGCTTCCGAACATTGAATTTCACTGCTGTCACTCCAGACTTTTTCTATGTATGTGGCATATTGCAAGTGCTAGTGCTGAAAGTGCATTTTTGCCACACAAGTCATAATCATGTTTGGGGCTACATGACAGGGCTGTGCGGCGGCCATCTCTCTATCAAATGGCAACCAGACTCTGTCGAACACAATGACCTTAACCAAGGTCGCATTCGTCAGTGAATGAATCTCGACCAGGGTAGGGGGAATTTGAATTTGGGTCTACCGACAATGAGTCTGATGCGACAACCACTATGCTACCTACGTCACAATTCTATAAACATTACCTGTCTATAGAGGGCGACAAACACCAACAAGTTTAGATTTGGGTCAAATCACAGCCACTAGTAACCGTAGTCAAATGAACAATTTTGTAACACAATAAGACAATACAATTTGCTTTTTTGAATCTTGAAGTTATTTATTCTCACTTTTCCCTCATTGGCAGTATCGACAGTTCCCTGAAGCATGTCAAAGTTCTGGGAAGGCGTTGGATTAGAAAGCACTCGAGGAAAAATTCAACTCCGGCCCATGTACATCAGAGGGAACCTTCCTCCATACAGAGATTTTTGGCTCGCTCGTCACAAGTTTTGACATGGTTACCAGAAACTGAAGACGCTTCCAAAGAAGAAATTACGTAAACAAACACAAGCTTATTGTTCAGACAACGCATGCGCATATAAATTACTGTATCACTGCGATGTATTAGATGGTGAAGGAGCACGTATCGTGTTATAATGTAGGGTAGGATGCAAGATTTTCAATTAGAGGGACAGGAGGGCACCTGTACAATGACATCATTGTCGTATGGCATTGTTAGATATACGTGTACGAGTATTGACGTTCTTTAGCAGTACCTCCTCTATATCCGCCACTAAATTTAACAAATTGTCAGTACTTAAAAACAGTTCGTGAGGCGGAGCCGATACAACCTCAGGCTGACTCAAATGCCAAAATTTACCCATAATGCAATGCACTGTACTCTCGATTTACATAAGGAATTGTAGTTTCCAACCTAATATTCTCGAAAATGACTGCTGCCACAGACTTGCATACGGTCTCTTGTTTCAATAATAAAAAATGTTATGGGAGTGTATAAATGGCGAAAGCAGAGTTACCGCGGAAATCGGATTACCG